CACTGGGGCCTTCGATGGCGCTCCCTAGGGGCCACGAAGCGCTGTACTGGGTGCGGGAAACGCATGCGAACACCGCCTCTGGAGCCTTCGGAGGAGCTACCTATGGGGTCACGAAGCGTTGTACTGTGTGCAGGTGACGCATGCGGGCGGTGCCGATGGGGCCTTCGGTGGAGCTCCCTATGGGGCCACGAAGCGCTGTACTGGTCGGGGGTGACGCACGCGGGCGGTGCCACTGGGGCCTTCGGTGGAGCTCCCTATGAGGCCACGAAGCGCTGTACTGGTCGGGGTTGACGCAGGCGGGCGGTGCCACCAAAAAAATGCAAAAAACCTTCCTCCAGAAGGTTTTGGAAGAATCCTTGCAACAATCTTTCCAACAAAAAACCGTCCTCATGAAGGTTGTTGGAAGGTTTATTGGCGACTCCTTACAAACACCTCTCCCCCTCAGGAAGGTCGTTGGAAGGTTTTGGGAATGACTCCTCCAGAAAAACCTGCCAAAAACCTTCCTCAGGAAGGTTTCAGCAGGGGTTAGCCGAACTGCCGCACCCAACTGCGAGGGGAGTTGGCCCGCAACAGTGGCGGCAATAATCTCCTCTGATGAAGCCGGCCTCTGGCTTATTTTCTCCAATCGGAGCTTGCCTCTGTAGGGGTCCTAGCGGATTACAGGGTTAGGTGAGGTGCGTCGCCGATTTCGGTGGCCGGGCCCGGGTGCCTGGGTGCCCGGGTGCCCGGCGGTGCCCGGGTGCCCCGGTGGCCGGTGAGGTGAGTGGCCGATTTCGGTGGCCGGGCCCGGGTGCCAGGGTGCCCGGGTGCCCGGGGGTGCCCGGGGGTGCCCAATAGCCCAATAGCCCAGTAGCCCAGTAGCCCTATAGCCGTATAGCCATATAGCCCTATAGCCGTATAGCCCTATAGCCCTGTAGCCCTATAGCCTTATATCCCTATAGCCCTAATAGCCTTATATCCCTATAGCCCTATAACCCCATAGCCCATAAAGCTCTATTAAAAGAGGCGACGTGCACGCTCCCAAGGGAGCAATTTTTCCCAATCAGAGCTTGCCTCTGTAGGGGTCCTAGTGGGTTCACATGGTTAGGTGAGGTGCGTCGCCGATTTCGGTGGCCGGCCCGGGTGCCCGGGTGCCCGGGGGTGCCCGGGGTAGTCCTATAACCATATTGCCCTGTAGCCCTAATAGCCTAATAGCCCTATAGCCCTATAGCCCTAATAGCCCTATAGCGTTATAGCCCTATAGCCTTATAGCCCTATGAGCCTATTGTCCTATAGCCCTAATAGCCAAATAGCCCTATAGCCCTATAACCCTATAGCCCTAACATCCCTATACCCTATAGCCCTATAGCCCCAGAGCCTTACAGCCCTATAGCCCCATAGCCCTATAGCCCTAAAAGATTATGATTGGAGTTGTTCTCCGGTACCATTTTCTTCCTGGAGGCCCCATACTGGAACTTTCCTCCGCAAGTAGGCAAGGTGCAAGAGGAGGAGAAGAGGGAGAAGGAGGAGGAAGAGGAGGAGGAGGCGGAGGAGGAGGAGGAGGAGGGGAGGAGGAGGAGGAGGAGGAGGAGGAGGATAGGGAGGAGGAGGAGGAGGAGGAGGAGGAGGAGGAGGAGGACGAGGAGGAAGAGGAGGAGCAGGACGACGACGAGGACGGGGAGGAGGAATGGGAGGAGGACTGGGAGGAGGAAGAGGAGGAAGAGGAGGAGGAGGAGAAAGACGGCGACGTAGGTGCGGGCCAGGGCCGCCGAGGAACTCGGCCGTGCGTGCGCCCATGCGTGGTGCCATTCTGCCAGGATGTCCGCGACACGAAAACCCCCTTTCCTCGATTTGCACCAGAACCATGTCCAAAACCACGTCATCATGGCATGTTATGTAATCGCTTCGCTCATTCCGCCGGCCCATAATGTCGCACCGTGGTCGCCTGTCCGAGTGGTCGTTTGCAGTGTGGAGCTGCGGCGTCGGGAGCTGTGTAGTTGTCGATAAATTTGTTGTTGATTTTTCATGGGGCTTCTAGGTGTTTGCAGCTTTTGACGGCTTTGGTGCCATCGTGGGGGCGTGTTACCCGTGGTATCCCGCTGTGGGGCCGTTCGAGCCGGGGGAAGAGACATCTTATGCGATCCTCGTGCTGGCGGGCTTTGGCTAACATTGGCCTGTCGTCTGATGTCCTCTGGCGTTGCGGACACGGGGGAGCGAGGGGAAGATGCCGATTTTGCATCAGGAGGAGGAGGAGGAGGAGGAGGAAGAGGAGGTGGACGAGAAAGAGGAGGAGGAAAATTAGGAGGGAGGAGGGGATGAGGAGCGATGAGGGGCGCCTTTGTCGTCGGATGTCGTCCATTCTGAATGGGGGGAGGAGGAGGAGGAGGAGGAGGAGGAGGAGGAGGAGGAGGAGGAGGAGGAGGAGGAGGAGGAGGAGGACGAGGAGGAGGAGGAAGAGGAGGAGGAGGAGGAGGAGGAAGGAGGAGGGGGATGAGGAGCGATGAGGAGCGCCTTTGTCGTCGTCGTCGTCGCCGCGCCGCCGCCCGCCGCCGCCGCCCGCCCGTCGTCGTCGTCGTCGTCGTCGTCGTCGTCGTCGTCGTCGTGGAGGGTCGAGGCTCGAGTCTGGAGGCCGAGCGCGGGGGAGGAGGACCACCCCGACCCGCGTTTCCCAAGTCGCGTCTGGCTGGAGTCTTGGAGGCGTCCTGGGGGCCTCCTGAGGGTTTTTTGGAGGCCTCCAGAGGGCCTTTTGGAGGCCTCTTGAGGCCTCTTGAGGGCCTCTTGGGGGCCTCTTGGGGCCTTTCGAGGGCGTCTTGGGGCCTCCCGGGGGCCTCTAAGGGCCGAGAGCTCGAAATTCTGTTTCGTGAACCCCCTCTTGGGGCGTTCTTGAAGCGTTCTTGGGGCCCTCTTGGGCCGTCTTGGAGGCCTCTTGGGCCGTCTTGGAGCCATCTTGGGCCATCTTGGAGCCCTCTTGGGGGCTTCTTGGGCCCTCTTGGGGCGATCTTGGAGGCCTCTTGAGCCGTTTAGGAGCGTCGGGAAACCGAAAAGGTTGAAACGCCCAAATCTGTCCAAAACCTATGGGAAAGCATTGTTTGATTGCCTCTTTTTTTTTCCGGGAGCGATGAATCAAGGAAGGTCAGCAACCTGGTACACACTTGTGTGCGAAATGAGGCGCGACAGCAATGATTGGGCCTGGGCGGACAAATCCTGCCCCCCTAGACAGACGCAAACCAAAGGAGCTACCAGGTCGCCAGGGGAGCTCTATGACTTATAAGCTATAAGTCATAGAGCTCCCCTGACGACCAGTTATTCTAAGTTCAAAATTATAAATTATAACAGCTGGTCGGATGTGTCATGGCTCCGATGCACAATGCCGCCGCTGAGCACTTGCAATCGCGAGTGCCCCCGTCGGCGTCCTAATAGGATAATTCTGACATTAGTCAGACCTCGCGAGTTCTGAAATGCTTAAAAAGATCCGGATCGTAACGAATAACACTTGTCGCCTACATGGGAGACATCAGGCGGCTTTCTGCGGAAAGGCTGGGGCGATCATGGACCCAACGGTTGACACATTGTATGGCCCTGGAGACATCTTGAGAATATAGGGCTTTCGAGCCTCCAGGACGATAGATAATTCGGGCCCCAGTAGGGCCCGCTGGAAAATCACCGCTCCGCTGGCCAAGGACACCCTGAGGAAATCCGGGTCCCAGATCGTGACGGTGGCCCCGTGCTGTAACCGCGCCCTGCAGAACGAGCTGCTCGAGGGCGCGACGCCCTGCTGGCGAGAGGCGTCGCCCCTGCGCACGGATCGGCTGCTCCACAGCACGGATCCGCGGAAAATCGCTCCACAGCACGGATCGTCCCAGCGGCCCGCTGGAAAATCATCGCCGCTGCGCGCGGCTCGGCTGCTCCGGAGCACGGATCCGTGGCAAGTCGCTCCACAGCACGGGTCGCCCCAGCGGCCCCGCTGGAAAATCATCGCCCCTGCGTGCGGATCAGCTGCTCAACAGCACGCTCGGGAAGCACAGCGTGCAGCTCCCCTGCACGGGCGGCTCGGATGCGAGCCGGCCACCGCCCTGCACAGGCGTGCCCATGTCCAGCTTCACCTCCGCAGCCCCGAGCGCGTCCCCGCGCGCCCCCCGCGCGGCCCCGCCGCCGTCCCCGACGGCGCTCGGCCCGCGCGCCGGAGGCTCCCGGCTGGGCGGGCAGGCGGCGGCGCAGCGGGACCGGCGCTGCAGGACCTCCAGGGCACCGATCAAGGGATACATGGCGACGCAGATTGAAACGAAGAGACTGTTCACGAACGTGAAGTCTCGGCCGAAGTGGACGAGCGTCAGGCGCAGCAGAGGCATCTGGAGCAGTGACACGCATGCTGCGAAAAGCTGGCCACCGCCAGCCAGCTTCCCGTAGTTGGAAAATCCGAAAACGGCCCCGACATAGGAAAAAAACGATGCCCAAACGCTCACGCGACTTATTGAATAAGCGAACGCAAACACAAGCTGCATGGAATACAACTGCGACATCAGGCATAGAGGGCAACACAACAGCAATGTGTTCGTGAAGATCAGGACTCTGACTGTGCCGCATGTGTCGATGGCATGTCCGATTAGTGGTGTGACCGCCCAAGCGAAGGAGAAGACCACGTTGAATATGAGAACAAGTTCTGCAGAGTCGAAACCCATCAGCTGAAACTGAACTCCGAGACTCTGTAGACTGAACTGTGCCTGAAGAGCAGCTAGAGCAAAGTAGGCAACAATGACTAGGTACTCTGGCGACAGCACTTGTTCTCGGAAACACCTTTCTTTGAGGACCGGTCGTTCAATATTGTGCTCTACCGGGAGCACTGGCCTCGACTTGTTCGAACGCTTCTGGGTAACGCCGAAAGGCAGAGTCGGCCATATAATGAGACACATGCCGGAAACAATGAACAGTACGATTGAGTATCCGAGAAACAATGCCTGCTTCGACACCTGTGCAAGTCGATGCATAGTTTCCATAATGAGGAAGACGCCTGCGGCTAGCTGAAAAGATCCGCTCAAGCTTGACATGACCAATGAATGGTTCTTAGGAAACAAAGCCGACGTTGACTGCAAGCATAGTAGCACTCCACCTCCGCCAAGACCGATGAGTGACAAACCAGCTAGCAGGCCGGTCTCAGAGCTTGTCAGTCCGAATACTGCAGCTCCGATTCCGCAAATCGCAACGGTACCAGCTGAAGTGCGGCGTGGCCCAAGACGGTCGAGAACAATACCGACGAGCAAGCGGCCTCCCTGGTTCGCCCAGGACCCGACGGTGAACACCACTCCGTACGACAACTCCTGGGAATCGCAGACCTCGCCAAGGGCTGTGCTGTCGCACTCCTCGGGATCATAAAGCACCTGGTCGCGCAACAGCAACTCTCGCATCGACGACCACCCGTACACTGCACCTCCCATCAACGCTGTGAAGAGGAGCGCTGTCAGCACGTACGCGAGCCGTACGCGGAAAGGCAAGGCGACCTCTGCAGCTCCGCCCGCGGGCGCCGTACGCAAGACGCCAACCATCAACTACAAAGACTCGTGCCGAACGAACCCTCACTGAACCTGCTGCTGTCGTATAGTATCTTACGCCAGAATGCCTTGAGCAAAAAATGGCTTGAGCCAAAATGGCTACGGAAATTGTTTGTTTGCCTCTTGGGGCCCTCTCGGGAATGCACTTGGAGACCTCCTGGGGATCTTGGAGGCTTCTTGGGCCATCTTGGAGACGTCTTGGGCCGTCTGGAGGCCATCTTGGGCGTCGTGGAGCGATATTCGGGCGTCTCGGACCTCTCTTGGACCGTGTTGGGGGCGTTCTTGGGGCCCTCTTGGGCCGTCCTGGAGGCCTCTGGGGCCGTCTTGGAGCCGTCTTGGGCCGTCTTGGGGCCCTCTTGGGGGCCTCTTGGGCCCTCTTGGGGCGATCTTGGAGGCCTCTTGAGCCGTTTAGGGGCGTCGGGGAACCGAAAAAGTTAAAACGCCCAAATCTGTCCAAAACCACAGGAAAAGCACAGTTTTTTGCCTCTTGGGGCCCTCTTGGGAGTTCTCTTGGAGGCCTCTTGGGGCATCTTGGAGGCTTCTTGGGCCATCTTGGAGACGTCTTGGGCCGTCCGGAGGCCATCTTGGGCGTCGTGGAGCGATATTCGGGCGTCTCGGACCTCTCTTGGACCGTGTTGGGGGCGTTCTTGGGGCCCTCTTGGGCCGTCCTGGAGGCCTCTGGGGCCGTCTTGGAGCCGTCTTGGGCCGTCTTGGGGCCCTCTTGGGGGCCTCTTGGGCCCTCTTGGGGCGATCTTGGAGGCCTCTTGAGCCGTTTAGGGGCGTCGGGGAACCGAAAAGGTTGAAACGCCCAAATCTGTCCAAAACCTAAGAAGAAGCATTGATTTTTGCCTCTTGGGGCCCTTTTGGGAGTGCTCCTGGAGGCCTCTTGGGGCATCTTGGAGGCTTGTTGGGTCATCTTGGAGACCTCTTGGGCCGTCTGGAGGCCATCTTGGGCGCCGTGGAGCGATCTTCGGGCGTCTCGGAACTCTCTTGGATTGTGTTGGGGGCCTCTTGGGGCCCCCTTGGGGCGATCCTGGAGGATCTGGGGGAGTGTCCCGGGCATGTCCTGGGCTCCTCTCGGGGTACTTTTGATCCAGGGACCCCCAGGGGCCGCCCCGCGCGCGCGAACCAAAAATACTGTTTACCAGTTACCGGAGATCTTAGCACGCCTCTGGCCCGTTGGGCCGGCGAATTCTAATTCGTATGTGCATGCAGCTGTTGCATCTCGTGCGCATTTACGCTGCTCGTGAACATCGTGTTCTACCATCTCTCTCTCTCTCTCTCTCTCTCTCTAGCGACGTCCTCTTGATGCTCAAAGAAGCAGATCGTGGCGGCAATCAAAACAAACAAGTTGGCAATTCGACATGCAATTATTGGACTGAACAAGTATGCCGAAGTTTTCGAACCGAGCACCAAAAGGTTGCAAGTGCCACAATGCAAGCCAAATTTACCACCATTCGCGCTTCTCCCAATCACCGTGGACTTGTATCTCGCCGCCATTTCCTCCGCCTCCCTTTCCACGAGTACCAGAACACCGGCCACCACCATCACATCCGGCGGAAGACCAGACAGCAGCAGCAGGCAGCACAATCGTCGTCGACGCCGATGTTCTTGGACATGACAGCACAATTCATCAGGTACAGCCGCCAATTTGGTTTCTTCTGGCAATACACATGGCATGGCCTCTTCTGGCAGTACACATACCTGTGAACAGCATATCATGGTTTCTTCTGACAGTGTACACACTTATGGACAACAGACTCGCGACAACGTTCGTTGTGAAAACAACAATAAAGTTGACGAGTTTTTGGCTCGTCAAAATAGATCAGCTCGCGCAGCTTTTTCTAGCAATGCACATATTTCAGCGCCCCCGTTGGTCCGAGCTGTTTCGCCATCGCCACAAATCGTCGCGGATGAAGACAATCAAAGGCCACGTGGAGAGACACCCACGGACAGATGCACCACTTCTACTCACGTTTCGGTTGGATGTCTGTTGACCCATCGTTGAAAGTTGTTGGTATGGCTGCAAGAGCAGGGAAAATCCTGGTTCACACCCGAAACGATGCTCTGACAATCCAAAACATAATGTTCCTCAATGTTCAGATCATTCGAATCCTAAAGCCAATGCTGCAGAAGTCTCAAGACACAGCGGCACCAGTTTTAGCAGGCCTCGAGACAGTCTAGAATCCAAGGTTCAGCATTAGACTCTAGTGATACAAAATGGGTGGGAGAGCCTGCCAAAAATGGTCGCAACAAAAACGATTCTCTCGCCAACCGTGGGTAATAACAGGGAATCACTTCGATACAAGCTCTATACAAACAGCATTTCGCCACTGCAGCAGTCTTGACACAGATTTGAATAATTTCTGGACGCTTCGCGTTCCACATCTTGATCGTCGTCTCTATCCCTTCTGTACACGCATTCGTCTTCACCTGCCTCTTCATCTTTCATCATCGTGGTCCTCCTCCTCCTCCTCCTCCTCCTCACGGCGCGCATTTGGCGCGTCGTCGCTGGGCGTGCTGGTCACGTGCGCACAAGGAAAAAAAAAACACGCAGAATCTCGATTAAACCGGCTTCGTTTTTTTCACTCGAAATAAGGTCCCTCCTGCTGTCGTAATGTCGCCAATCCCCCTCTCCTCTCTTTTCCCGCTCCTTCAGGCCGTTCGTGCCTCTCCTCCCCTCGGGGGGCCGTCCCGTGCTGCTGGCTGGGGGAGCCCTCTTGAACGGGCATATGCCCCGGCAGACGCCTGTGCATAGCTCTTCGCCTCCTGCGGTCGGGTACTGCGCCTGCTCGCTCTTGGTTCTTCCGCGTGGCTGCTGCTTGCTGATGGGCCGAGCTCGTGCGCAGACGTATTTGGCCTGGCACGGGCTGGAGGGCTTGGAGTTGAGGATGTCGATGGTGGTGGGGGAGAGCACGGCATTCATGCTAGCGCTCGGCTGCCCCTCTGCAACCCGCTGTGGACCGAGCACCTTGACGTTGTGGCGCATGTCCCGCACAGCGGCGCCCGAGACGAACAGCGGCGAGTGTAGCCCTGCTCCTGGGTCCGCGCCCATCTTCTCTGCCGTAGTGGCGACGATGGAGTCGGCATCTCCCAGTTGACTTGCGCGTATAGGAAGCCGCTTCTTTCTGCCACCAATCGAGGTGCCCGCAGCATAGAGGGGAAGTTTGGATGAGGGTGGATCAGCGGAGGAGGAGGAGGAGGACGAGTTGAGGAGGTGGTGGTGGAATGGTAGGCTTCATTGCGAGCGCTCGGTGCTTCCTCTGCAACCTGCAGTGGACCGATCACCATGTTGTCGCGGTGTATGCTCGAGCGCAGCGGCGCCCGAGACGGGTATGGAAGGCCGCTTCTTCCTGCCACCAGTCGTGAGGAGGAGAAGGGGGAGGAGAGGCGGGGAGGTACAGTGATGGAGGAGATACAGATGTGTGGTGTAGAGATGCGTGCGTGGGAGCCAGCAGGTCACGAGTCGCAACGAAATCTGGCCGCGTGTCCGCCGGAAGTCCGTCGAGCAAGCGCCTGCGCGCTGGTCGTAGCCGGAGGCCACGGGTCAGCCCTATCGGTGCTGTCATGGTCGGTCTTGGTTGGGTCCGACTAGAATCAGCAGCTTGCTGGCATGTCGAAAGTCCGACGACTGCCCGTCTGGGCGGGCCAATTCGGACTCCACCGCCAGTCGGAGCTTGTCGAGAGCGTCCTAGCGCATTCCCTCTACAGTGCTTGTCGCGATAAATATTGTCGTCTCGGATGTTCTATTGCGCCACGATTCGCTGTTTACCGTGCCGCTGCTTTCCGAAAGTGTGTCGCAACGAAGTGTGGGCACTTCTCGTTGCAAGTTGGAGGGGGGCAGTGCGACAGGTGGATGTTATGCGGGGATGTCCTTGATACTGACTAAAACCGGCTTTTGACTTCAGACCAGACTTTTCATTCGTTGATCTCTTGGATCTCTTGGGGAAGCAGCGTTTTGGATTCAGATGCCACCGACAATTTTTCCTCCTGCGTGTACGCGATGCTGAGCAGACATGGGGCGACATCGGCTGCACACATTTTGCGGTAGTGCCGGTAATTTTTAGTTCGGGATGTTGGAGGTGGAGGCTTGGTGGGGAGGGTAGGATTGAGGAGGTTGTGGTGGAATAGAAGTTTCATTGCGAGCGCTAGGTGCGTACTCTGCAGCCTGCTGTGGACCGATCACCTTGATTTCGCGGTGTATGCTCGAGCGCAGCGGCGCCCGAGACGAAAACCGGCTGAATGTAGCCCGCTCCTCGGTCCACTCCGCCTCCATTTCCTGGCTGTGGTGGTCAAACCGTGAGGTACGTGGCCACCAAGACAGAATTTGGAGTCGGCAGCTCTCAGTTGATTTCCGCGTATGGGAGGCCGTTTCTTTCTGACACCAGTCGTGGTACCCGAGGCGTAGCGGGGGAGGTATGGAGTCGGTGGATGGATCGAGATTGGGGAAGGGGGAGTAAACGGCATTCGCTGTAAGCGGTCGGTTGCTTCCTCTGCAACCCGTTGTGGGCCCAGCGCCTTGACGTTATGGTGCATGTTCCAGCGCAGCGGCGCCAGATATGAACATGTATGAGAGGCCGATCCTTTCAGCCATCAGTATTGATTTCTGCAGCGTGCTGTGGACCGACACCTTGATGTTGCAGTGTATGTTCTGATGGCCGCCGGGAGCTATACTTAACAAGTCAATCGGTTAGAGCACTTTTGCCGACCACTTCGGAGGAGGCTCGGAGGGCATAGAGTGGTGGTGGATGGCAGAGGAGGAAGACGTGCGAGTCGACCGCCGAGAGCGTGTTGACCGCCAGAGCTGTGCTCACCGAGCTTCTGAGCAGCATCTTGATCAAAACAAGTAAACTTACGTTACTCTTGACTGCCTAAGGCCAGCCAATGCCGTCTGAACCAGCCTCCCACGGCAGAAAACCGCGTGCTTCACATTGTCACTTGGGCCAGCCGGACGATTTGGCCAACTGGACACTGGGGAGGGTAGTCTTTTGATGATGAGCAGGAGAGGGGGTGCGAAGGAGAGGGACTTCACCGCCTGGCTGGCGCATACTGTGTTTCCTTGCGGGCCCACGTTCTTTTTCCATCTCTTCACGCCTCTCTTTCTGCCGCTGCGCCAGCCAGTCGTGATTGATTTATTCCTTAAGGCCTCGCACTGTGCTTTTTTTTCCGCGACGCAACAAGCTCAGTTTTTCATGTCTGATCAACGTAAAAAAGAAGGCGACGTGCCAAGTTTTGCCCTCGAGGTCGAGGGGGGAGGTTTTAGTACGTTGCTGGCCCTTGTCGGGTATCTGGGGGTATCCCAGGACCTCCGGGGACCTTAGCGAAGGACAGGGAGAGATGATGAGGAGGGGGCTCTTTTTGAGGTGGAAGCCCTCCCCTCCAGTTAGAAATCAGCACGCTCGAGGTCCAGGCCCTCCATGTTGAGTTTGAAGGCCATGGCTACGGCTGGAGTCAGGAGATGAGAAGCCCTCACCGACGTCCTCGCTAAAGCCTCCCGAGTCTGCGGGCAGAAAGCCCCTGACCCCGACACGGGGGGAGAGAGAGAGAGAGAGAGAGAGAGAGAGAGAGAGAACACCTCCAACGCCCGTGTCAAAAACACCCGTGTGCGAGAGGACGCCAGGGAAGAGGAGGAAGAGGAGGACGGGGTGGGGGAACACGTGACACACGGGGCGGTGGTGAAAGGATGGGACCACCCCGGGGCGCAGCGAGAGGCCCGCCGAGAGCGGCGACCCGCAACGCCAAATTCACGAACCACGGCCCCCCAAACAGGGCCACGATAGCAGAGACGCTGTCCCGGGCTCGGCGCGCAGCCCAGTCCGGGGCAGGACATTCCCAAACCACCTCTGTCATGAGAAACTCGATGCGGACGTTTTTCTCGATCTTCAACCTCTGGGGACCCTCGCCGGGCCCCGGGACAGTCAGACAACGACTCAGGATGAAGAGCTGGCCCTGTGGAAAAAGTCCAGACCTCCAGGGATCCCGTGGAGAAGCTCGAGGCGTCGGATGGCTGGGCGTGGCTCGAAGACACAAGCGAGTCAGGAGGCAGCCTTTGAAGCTTTCGCCAGAACGGTTCAAGGGCTACTCCGAGTTTCTGAATAAGCGTCGGGGGGGCGTCACCCCCGCCGACGGCCCCACATCGACCCCCGTCGCGGGTAGCCACCGCGCGCCGACGGCGTTCCGATCCCCGTCGCGGCGCGACGACGAGGCGAGGTTGACGCCCGTGGGGGGGTACCCCCCACGCTTATTAAGAAACCCAGAATACCCAATTGAGGGACCATGAAGCCGGGTTCAACCGGATTCAGCACGGGACGGGATCATGCCCGACTAAGCCGGATGGAACGGGATTAGGCCGGACAACACGGGACTGTGCCAAAGTACGCCAGTTTTCGGCCACGGATATACCAGTACCGATGCTGACTTTGACATTTCAGCAGTCCCAAAAGGTGCTCTCAGTCAGGAGCTCCCTTCTCCTCCTAGGGGGACGCCAACTATACATTTACACCGACCCTGGCCAGGCCCGTCCTGTCCACTGGATCGCCGTATACGCCCTCCTGCCTCGGGCAAGGCTTGGGCAGGGAGGCTCAGGGCAGGCATGGTCCGCAGCGGTGTAGGAGTATGGTTAGAGCCTCCTAGATGGGGTCGGAGGATCGCGCCGCATCGCCGATACATCGGCGATGCATCGGCGATGTATCGGCGATGCACCTGCGATGAATCGTCGACGTCGGCGATGCATCGGCGACGTCGACGTGAAGCAAATCGGGCTCCACATCGAGTGGCATCGGCGATGCATCGCCGATGCGGCGCGATCCTCCGACCCCATCTGCTCCGACCCCATCTGGGAGGCCTAGACTAGTAGGCGGCCTCCGAGAAGGGGTCCACCGTCGGACGCGGAAGGGGAGCACCTGGCAGCCGGCGCGGTCGCCGCCGCCCGTCCTTGTAGGTGTGCAGGCCCTCCGCCGGAGCGTACGTCAAGACCTCCACCGCCCGTGCGGGGTCCGAGCGCCAGCCATCGAAAGCACAGGAGCCCGCACACTCGGCGGTGCGCCCAAGGGGGGAAAGCAGAGGGGGCGGGCCTCCTCAGAAGGCTCTGAAGGCATCCCGCCTTCCGAGACGCCCTCCAGGCCGTCTCCGGAGACAGGGACTGCTTCTCAGAATGCTGCAGGGCTTCTGAGACGCCCCGCCGCCTTCTGAGAGGGCCTGCAGCGCGTCCCCGAGTTTAGCTGTTGAGTCGTAGCTCGGGCCTCCAGCGGCCGTTCGGGAGGACCTGGGCAACCCCAGAGCGCTCTCGGCGAGACGCCGCTGCTGGACAGCACCCAGAAGCTGAAAGTTCGCCGTGGACCGACGAAGACACACGCCTCGGCGCGCCGCCGACACGAGACCCCCCCCCCTGATCCCCCCCCCCGACCTTCCCGAGGGCCACGCGGCGCCCCGACGCCTCCCTGGCGCCCTCCAGGGCGTGCAGGGTGCCCATCTTGGCTGCCAAGGCGGACCAGGCAGGCTACCAAGGCCACCAGGATGGCCCAAGACTTCCTCGAGAGCGAACTGACAATTCCCCAGAACGTCTCAGGAGGCGCCCAGGAGGCACCACGAGGCTTCGAAGATGACAAGAAGACTCCTCAGAGGCCCCCCCCGGGAAGCCTCGAAACATTGGAAGTGAACGCTGAGGAGTTCGGTACGTGTTGAATCCGAGTGAGGGGGCCGAGGGTCCTCAATAAAGCGGGGTTCCGCAATCCAGATTGAACTCGCACAACTGGAGAAGAACGATCGTGGATCCTCCCATCCGGTGCCTACTGCGGCTTCCAGTCAAAGTGCCCCCCCCCGCTCTCGCACCTTATAAGACCAGCGAACAACTATTGAGGCTGAACATGTGCCCCTGGGCCTCTGGCTACAATGGCAACGGCTCCCGCCTAAGACTTCTTCACGCTTCATTGAGGAATCGCGCTTCGCGTGGTTCGAGACTAGCGCTCCCACCGTTCTGGAACCGCACTCTCTCCCAGGACCCCTCTTGCTATACTTAGGAATGGCGCTCTCGCCTGAAACCTCACGTAATTTCTCGCCCGCGCGACCCACCGGTTTGGGCCTGCCTGGCCAGCCAGTCAAGGTCTGCCCACCCGACCCGCGTCCGCTGGGTCGATTGCTTGGAAGCCCGCACGCCCGCTGTCATTCCCAACCCTCCCGTCAAGCCGCCCGCGTCCATGCCCCGCCCGCACGACCCGCCCGTTTCGGTCCGTTCGCTCCGAAGGCAAATAATCTGGACGTCCGACAATCAGATCTGAGGTCTACAACGACTGAATGCAAGTATGCGGGTTCGCCTGGAGTAAGCTAGGGTGGCCTTAGATTACGGTGATCATGAGGTTGCCGAGCGTGGACAAAATCCGGCCCACGAGCGCCCTTGCCAACCAGCCCACGCGCCCATCAGGATGCATGGACTTCTTGCTTGCTTGCTCGGGGAACGCACACCTAAATCTGGATCATGCGCGGACGCCCCGCAATCACTTGGCACTTGTTTTTGACACGGACGGCGGGGGGGCAGCATATCGACTGCTGTGTGCAATGCCAACACCCCCTCCAACCATCCTTTGCAAAAACAGCAACAACTGTACACTTTGCAACCAAACTTTGCATCAAGCGCGGACGCCTCGCGCTCGCATTGCATGGTTTGTGAAGGGGATGGCGGGGGTGCCAGCACTTGGGCATTGGATAAGGAACCCTTAGGTAAGGAATCCAGGGTCTGGAAGCCAGCGGAACTCCAATCCCGGATCGGCCATGGATATCACCGCCGCCCTCATTGGATAAAGAATCCTCCAGGGTCTGGCGCCTCCTGCACTATTCCTTAACAAACGCCTCCACCGTATTGCCTGCTGCGCGCAGGCCCACCATCCCTTTGAAAGGGAGCAGAAACAACCTCAGTTTGCCAGGAAAAGGCGGGCAGGGGGCGGCATCCCGCCTGCTGTGCGCCGGCCCACCGTCCCTGTCAAAAGCAGATGCAAAGCGATCGTGGGCCCACACCCGCACACCACAAGCCCGCCGTCACTCTGCATTGGATCTAGGCAGGGACGGGGGGGAGGGTCGACAGGTTGCCCAATGCAGCGCGCCTGGTGCGCGTGGCGCAGCTGGCATGTGCAGCGCACCTCGCGGGCTTCGCGCACCTGGCTGGCGACAGCATTGGTTCCCGACGGTTGTCAATGGCGGCCCTTGCCCATGCTTAGACTTGGGTTCCACTTATGTGTCGGGAGGGCGGGTGGGAATGAGCAAGGCGGCGCGTTTCTTGCGGGTATCTTGACCCCTACCCCTGGGTCTGGACAACGGGGGCGGCAAGGTGTCAGAGTGTTGTCTTTGGCCCAGTATGGCTCCAAAAGGGCCTCAGTGGCCTCCAAGATGGCTCAGGATAGCCCAACATGGCTCAAGATGGCCTCCGACATGCGTCCAAGACTGCCCCAGGGCCGCTCCAGATGGCCTCGGAGCTCTCCAACGACGTCTCGGAGAAGCCAACATCCTCACAACACATGCGGAACATCAATGTGTTTTGCCTTCCCACCTTTTCGCTTCCCGTGAGCTTTGGAAGCCTCAAGCTGACTCCAAGATGGCCCAAGAGGGCCTCAAAGGAGCCCAAATGAGCTCCAAGGCGGCCCCAAGAGCGCCCTAGAGCGTCACAAGAACGCTCAAAGAGAATCCTAAGAGGCGGTGTCGGAGCTTTCAGAGGGGGGAGGCTAGCTGACCGCCTCCTCTTGTGTGATCGACATTCTCCTAGATGGCCCCAAGAGGGTCCCCCAAGGCTGCCAAGAGTGCCCCAAGGGGCCCCAAGAGGCTCCCCCGAGGCACCCAAGACGCTTCAAGAGGCCCCCGAGATCGCCAAGAGGCCCCCAAGACGACCCAAGAGGACTCCAACAAGCTCTCAGGAGACATACAAAGAGATTCCGAGAGGCATTCGAGAGGCCTCTGGCCTCTCTGCTCGCACTCCGCCATTTCCTCCTTCTTATACTCCTCATCCCCATCCGCCTCCTCATCCTCCTCCTTCTCCTCCCCATCCTCCTTATCCTGTTCCTCCTTCTCCTTGTTGCTGCTGACTTCGAATCGGGCGAGTCGTTTATCATTGTTTGCCAGAGTTGTGGAGCCTACGCAATCTCGAGCACTCGCAACTTGTGTTCCATGTCACGCACAGTTCGCTGAATCCCAGGTTCGCTGTACCAAGTATGCCTGGGAGCCGACTTGCAACGGCAAACATCCCAAGAAGACTGGGGTCAAAATCTGTCAACCGACCCACCTGGACCAGCTTTTGGCTTCCCTTGCTCTGGAGGCGGCGGAGGAGGGAGGAGAGGGAGTGTTGATCTCCCGCCCCACCCCGCCGCGGCCGATCATATTTGGTCTCGAACATTCGCGCCCCGCGCCCTGCTCCGCGCGTGCCTGCGCGAGGACGGCAAAGACCGCTAAGATTTTGGGTTGGATCGGTTTGGCAAACCCGTAGCCTTCTCCTTTCTTCTCTTACGCGTGCTGATCCTTTTCCCCCCCTTCTCCTGCTCCTCCTGCTCCTCCTGCTCCTCCTCCACCTCCTCCTCCTCCTCTTCCTCCTCCTCCTCCTCCTCCTCTTCCTCCTCCTCCTCGGGTTCTTTCTTCATCCTACCCCTATTGGCGTATCATAGTTCCCCCGCCCTTTATTCCATTGCATGCTCCTCCACATCCCTGATCAGGGCAACTGGCCTGGAAAACGTTTCTGAATAGGCTGGGTGGGTTACGCGACGCGTCTAAACTTTCAACTGTGACAATGCTCCCATGCGACGCTGTGCCCCTTGTCCTGGATTCGGTGATCGGTTGCCCTGCATCGCGCTGCAGATGCAACCAGTGCAGTGGGCACAAACCATGCTCATGATACTTGGCGCCATTCAGCATCTTGATGTCGCTACTCCGCACACTATGCCCGCCATGTCGGCGTGTGTGCGGGGTTTGTTCTTCATTCTGCTCCTTCCCAGGGCTCCGACGTCGCGTTTGTTTGATTACGTGGAGCCCCAGAAGGTCTGGACTACTTCCCTGGGGCGGATGATTCTCGCTCCAAGCTGCTTCTGAAAATCTCGGGGCCAGGCGAGGGCCCCCGAAGGCCGGAAAATATACAAAAACCCTGCATCGAGTTTTTTTCACCAAGCGAGGTGGTTTTCGGGCCAACTTGTTTTCTCCTCTAGCGGTCGTTCGGGACGATCTGGGCACGCCCGGAACGCCCTCGACGAGGCGCAGCTGATGGGCACCGCCCCAGGCTTCGAAAACTTGTGGGCCTTCTAACAACTCCTCCGTCCTTTCCCCGTCTTCCTCCTCCTCCCTTCCTCCTCTTCTTCTTCCTTCTCCTCCTCCTACACCTTCTCCTCCTCCTCCTCCTTCTCCTCCTCCTCGAACTGTACTTCCAGAAACAAGCGTTGCACATCCATACCAACGACAAGAATCTCCAAAGCCAGACAGCCAGCGGGACAGACCGCGTAGACCGTTCAAGCTTGAACGATCGGAAGCTTCTCGATCGCCAAATCGTTCAATATTGGCCATTCTAGGCCGCTGGCGGCGTTCAACCGTGAACGCCCGCGCTGAGGTCGTCGCCGCATCGACACGACAAGGACCTACCTAGAAGAAGGACAAACTGGTCCACGCGGAGTTCTCGGATCGGTGCTGGTTCGCTTCCATGGCGCGCGGAGCGCGCCAGGGGTGGCGCCTGAGGCGCCACCAGGGAGGCCCAGCGCCAATCCATGCATCTTTCTCTTCGAAAGCCGTACCCACATTCAAATGCGACTCCTGCATGAGGCCATGACGCATGCAAAAGCTGGCACACCCTTTGCTCTTCAAGCTGCCTCTACCCTCCGCGAGCCCCCTCCACATACCTCCGGGCACTTCAGGACCTTAGACCCGCCACGCTTGGTCGAGCCCAGATCGACATATCAAGGACCCTCCAGGAGGTATACTCCCTCCTGGGGGGATCTCGTCGAAGCCGAGGGGGGAAC